TACCGGGAGTCAATTGGGTGTTTAACATGTTGCTGTGTACATTTTACTTTCATGTGGTGAACTGCTCCGATCAATTCCAATTCTTTCTCACCCCGAAATATGAAAATAGTTGCACTATCCCTTTAAAGAATTGATAAACAAAAGGCTTTACTGCCACCAGTATCTACAGGACACTCGCCAGCCTTCACAGATTTTATAATCTGCATTTTAACATCCATATTGTTAATCTTGATATTTTTGCCACTTTTAATAGCAGCTTTCCTTTTGACCTGCAAAGTCTAAAAAATGCAAAAGAAAAGTGAAAACAAGGCAAAAGGGAAGCGCTGGAGCAAACAGTGTTGGCTGAAAGGCTTCACACTGCGCTTGCACTCTGGAAATGGTCCATAACACTGAAGGGATTTCCATCACGCGTGTACCTCCTGGATACTTCAAAGACGGGCGTGTTTTTATTTTTATGTTTTTCATAAAAAATAATTAAAAACAGCGTTCTAAGAGATGTGCGTATAGTGTTTAAAGAAGATATTGGAGAAGGGATCTGCATCGCCATGCAAGCTGTAGTGTAACAAGTAAAGATTAATTCCACAATGAAGACTAAAAAGAAAATATTGTTGCCATGACATCTAAAGAAGTCTCTATAGCCAAAACGTTTTTCTTTTTCACTTTTCAATGTTTCAGCACTTTTTTTTTAAACATAGGCATGGTACACAAGGGAGATCCTGGGACATAAATGGTCAAATATGTATGGTTATTTTCTTTGCTTTCCATTGTAAATCCGTCTGGGGCGAAGGTTTCTGTGTTGTTGGTGAAAATTGCTTTATGTAAATCCTCTTTTCATCCGTGCATTCAGAACAGAAACTGGAGTTTCTGCCTGGAGCCCTTTATCGTTGGGCAGCCTGTATGTAGTTTCTCAGATGTGCTCCAGAGGGAGTGTTTGTCTGAGAAGACAGTCGGCGAAAGCAGTGCTCTCGTGCTTCAGTGGCATGTCTCAGTGTATTTGTCTATTAATTAAATAAAACAGGTTAATTACAAAAATCACAATAAGCGGATATTTTCATTGTTACTTTCTCTGAACTGCTGGATGAGATCATAGCCACTGAACCAGCTACAAGGGCAGTCGTTCTGCAGCCTCTCTGAAACACATCATAAACACTTGGATATTGAATATTAGATCGCTTGCTACCTTCTTTGCATGTAGCAGTCGATTTTAAATGCGGTTTTACAGTCTGACTCTGGTGCCATTTTCCGTAGCCTTAATGAACTGTTTTTTCTAAAGCTTCATATCACAGCCGGCAAGCTTCATTGATCACGCGGGTGAAGCAGGCCATTGCCATCAATACTGATCAGAACGAAACCTGCAAGCCACACTCCTCGGGGGGAGAGGTGCTCTGCTGCAGCCACTGACGTGTGGTTCAGTGGATCATAGACAAAAAGAATTTGCTCTGAAGGCCCTGCAGCTGTCAAGGAAACAAGCAAAACGGCAGTAAAGCCTCAAGCTGTTCTCTAATGGCCATTTTTTTTCTTGCACTTCAAAGCGGACCAGCTTTGCCTATCCCCCTGCGTTTCTCTGGGATCGGGTTGTTGCTGTCATGTCTGGGCTGAGAGAGGCATGGAGGAAAGACTCCCTTGCCCAGTGCCAAGGATGAAGAAACATGTAAAGCTCCTTCATAAATTCGTTTTTCAGACCTAGCTGTCTACTAAAGAAGGTACGACGGGGGGGGAGGTGGAGACGCACTCAGACATTCAAGGCAAGTCAGTGATAATTGTAAAGTGCCAACTTGAAAACTGGTATTGAGGTATTTACATTTTATATTATGTAAACTGAGATTTCAGCTCAATTAGATTACATTTTACAGATAGTGGGCAAACATGAGCTGAATCAATGTAAAGTCACTTAACAGGGCTTGGATCCAACCTAGAGTCTACAGGCATCTGGGATTTCCAGAGGAGTGACGTGGCCACGTTCTTCCAGGAGAAACGCATGCTCGATTGGCGGAGCTGGAAGCTGCTGTGTCAGGGGTCGGTCTAGAAAGTCCCATCAGTGCCGGGCTAGGTTCAGATCTGGAGAAGGAGAAGGTCATGGCGTGGGAAAACATCAGTGTCGTGTTCTTCCAAACACTGGTTGACTGCACGTGCTGTGTGGGTGAGGGCATTGTCACCCTGGGGGACACCCAGGAAAAATGCTGCAACATGGGGTGAAGCTGATCACTCAGTATCATTAGGTAGCGATTTGCATTGATCTTGTGTGATGTCTGATGAAAGAATGAGAACACCCAAACCATCCCTCCTTAATCGGACTTGATTGAAAGAATGTTAATTCAGTAAATCTTGACGTATTTTCTTAAATTTTAAAAGGACATTTGATTTGCGGTTAGCCTAATATAGTGTCAGAACACAATTTTGGGTGTCTAAGGATAGAACTTTTCTGTTAAATGTTTTAAGCATTTTGTTATTATAATGCACTTGCGTGGTTGTGTAGAACTTCCATTTGTAACATGAAGAAGGATGAAGAAGATGCATTCCACAGGAAAACCAAATTATACTTCTCGCCAATGAACTATTTGAAAACGCAGATTGGCAAGTCTGTCATTTAAGCAGAACTTGTAAATCAAGGCCCTGTACAACAAAAGAAAAACAATAACAGGAGTAATGGTTATAATTCCCAAATGCCATATTAAATATTGGAAGATTTTAATGAACTTATTTGTTCGTTTTAGTTAAGAGAAAAGCACTGTTAAGCGGTTTAGCATTTCTACATTTTCTTTTAAAAAAAGGATGATTTGGTGGCTGTTTATAAAACCTGCTAGTGTCCTACTCTGTCCTACCAGGGTTGGAGAGGAGAGTAGAGAGAGTCGAGTAGAGGAGTTTATTGCCATATGTACACCTGTATTGGAATTCTTAAACACGCTGATCTCTCGGGACATACACAGTACCACGGACAACACCACACAATGTAGACGGTACATTACAAACATAATAAATATTAACAACAGGAACAATAAATATTGTAGTACAATAAATACATAGTAGTGAGAAACAAATATGGTAGACCATGCAAAAGTGCATAGTGCAGGTTTGTAACGAGTCTGAGACATGCAGTTAGCTGTTGAGGATGCGTACTGCAGTGGGAAAAAAGCTGTTCTTGAGTCTGTTGGTCCTTTGCTTTAATAGTGCAGTACTGCTTGCCAGAGCACAGGGAATGGTTGGGATCCTGAATGATGGATCGGGCTCTGTTGAGACAGCGGATGATGTGAATCTCCCCGATTGATGGTAAATCACATCCTGTGATCCTCTGTGCCATTGCGACAGCCCTTTGTAGTGCGTCTCCGTCATGCACGGCAGTACTGCTGTACCACACAGTGAAACCACTAGTGAGGGACAACACTTTCTATGGTGCTGCAGTAAGGGTTCATGAGGAGCCGCTTCCCCGTACTGGATGTTTTTGAGCACTGCAGAAAGTGCAGGCGCTGTTGTGCCCTTTTCAGACTGGCTACAGTGTTGAGTCCAAGCCAGGTCAGTGGAGATCTGCAGGCTGAGGAACCTGAAGCAACTGACAGTTTCCACTGCTGTGCCATTGATGCTGATTGGGGCATGACTCCCTCTGGGTCTCCTGAAGTCCACATTCAGTTCTTTTGTGTTGGTAACATTCAGGGCCAGATTGTTGTCAAGGCACCATCTTGTAAGATGCTCCACCTCACTCCTGTATGCGGACTCATCATTGTTGTTGATCAGCCCAGTAATAGTGGTGTCTTCCCAAGATAAAGATCTGCTGCTGTTTTACTTAGTTTCACTTAGAATGTTTTTTTTTTCTCCCGGTTGTAATGTGTTGCTAATGGACTGACTCCATCACTGTGTATTTTTATAATCTTTTCTTAGTGATCTGGTCACGTGGAAAGCAATGTTCATTTTATATGACTTGCATGGCAGTTGCCACAGTTTATCAGCAGTTGTACATAATTATGGCATTAATATATATCGGTACATCTGTATGAAATATATCTTGTCCCTTGAGTGGGTTATACTCAGCAGCTCTGGCACATTACGTATTTTATTGCTCGTCTGCAAGAGCTTAGGAAGTTGCCTAATCAGCAGCAACCAACCATCTTAAAATACTCTGAATAGAATCTCTGTTTTCTCTCTGCGGTAGGTAAGTTTCATAAGAGGTGCTAAAACTGCTTTAATAGAACAGGTTCTGCATTACATAGGACTATTACGTGTAACACCTTTTTAAGAGCGGAGAAGGAATTATGTAAACATTCCTGTCACATAGTTGCTGTTTAGGCACTGGAGTGTGCAGCAGGTGAAAGAGGAGCTTGATGAGTGGGTGTGTGTGTGGGTTGGAGGAGTTGTTGCTGTGAACCGAGATGTAAAGAACAAAATCGCAGTTACTTGTTAGACAGTCAGAAGATCATCACGTCGCTCTCTGTGATGGCTTATCCGGGTCCGGGGCTCGGGGGAGCCAGAGCCTCTCCTGGGTAGCAGTGAGCACAAGGCCGGGTACATCCTGGACAGGATGCCAGTCCGACTCGGGCCCCACTCGGACACAGACCCTCGCGTCAGGACCGCCAGTTAAACTACCAGTACGTCTTTGGACTCTGGGAGGAAACCCACATGAAACTCCATGTGGATAACACTGCAGCGCTGGGGGCCTGGGTTCCATTTTTAGGATGCTAACCGCTGTGCGCCTGTGCTGAGCTAGTCGGTAAATAAGGTGGGACAAAAGGTGAAGCTCATTTTCTTTCCTAAAGGCTAAAATGGCACAGCTGGATTCAGCCTTTTTGTTTGCTGCTCTTTACCCTTCATTCCCCGACCAGTATTTTCATAATTCTGCTTCATCTTACTGGTAGATCACCAGCCACTACTGTTACATGAGTAGACAGGAGTGCGTGTATCCCATCTGAAGCTAGTGTGGAGTTGCTCGCTGTAACTTGCTTAGCTTTTTTTTCCGTTGGTTGAAAGCTTCTGTTCAGCATGTGACGCTGTGCGCTGTGTCCTCTCCACAGACTTTGGTAGAATACGCCGGGCGATGGAAGATCTCGGAGGATCCCCTGCCTTTAGTGGAAGTGTACATGGTGGCCATCCTAAGCTACGCTCAAGCACGCCACTATCTCACCTCCGAATGCGAAAATGTATCCCTCGTACTTGAACGGTTAACATTGTAAGTATTTGTCGTTCACCTTCTTTAATGCTTGTGTGAAACTGTGTGGTAGTGGTTTACGGTAGTGTTTTATTTGCCATGCACAAGGTTTACTACTAAAAGCTACTGTGCACAGTTTTCAGTTTACTTCCAGGTTGTGACAGCAGCTGGTGCAAAATGAGAATTTGAAGAGGAAAAATCTTTCTGATTTTGGTTTAGTTAAACCCAGCAAGTCATTTCTTTTAATGACAGTGTATTGGAATGGGAGCCATTGATTCTATAAGTCTATTAAAGGGGAACTTAATTCATTTAAATAATGACTTTGAACAGGTCGTTATGGTTTCCCAGTGAAATGCATTTTAATTAGTTTCTATTGTTTTTATCATCCAAGCAAGTGAAGGTATTGTTTTGTGATTCCTGTTTTAGCTTCTCAAAAGCCTGTTGCCTTTTATCATTAGACTGCAACTTAGCTGCTTAAGTTGTGGCTTTGGGACTTTTCCCCCATCTGCTCTTCCTTGTTGAAAAGTATCCAGCCCCACACCTCAGCAGCATGTTTCCCCATCTTGTTGCAAATTGCACTTTCTAGAGAAAGATTTTCATTAGACGATTCCCAGGGCTGGTGCAAAAGTACTAATATCCAAGTATGACGAAATGGGTATTTGGTATACTTTTTATCTTATGCCTGATTGTAATTCTGAGGCACATCCAGAGATGCATCTCCCCTCTAGACATTAATTCACTGATGTAAAGAAACATTGAAGCCAAATCAAACAAACATGAAAGCATCATCAGGACTTTAATTTTGTTGTTGTTTTAAGAGAAAAGTTGATTGGTTTTGTCTGCCAATCAACCAAGACCTCCTTCTCAAAGCTCGAATTGTTTTTGTCTCTGAAGCAGGGGTTCCTTTAACCGTTCGTGCTGCCGCACAGGGAAAAGTCTCTTTCAGAATTTGTGGGCCTGATGTTCATTTGTTTTATTTGAAGGAGCTGTGTTGAGCTTCTGCTTTCACTGCCAGAGGAAATCCCAAATGCCTTATGGCAGGAGTTTCAGTTTTCAGTGCAGGTGAGAGCTTCATAATCTGTATTTTTTTGAAAGTGTTATATAACTGTATCACTCAGTTGGTCTGGGATTTAGTTTTAAGTTTGTTTTTCATTAATGCTTATTTATACCTGTTCAGGGCATTCTGCCTGCCCCCACTTTACGGCTTAAAAATAGGGTCTTGGAAATATTTTTGATGAGCTCTGTTCTAAAAAGTATTTGAGTTTCAGTTTAAGTGTTTTTTTATGTGAGCATGTGAGATGTTATTTTGTTGAAACATGAAAACTTAATGCTTTGGGCCGATGATGTCGATAGTTATACACATAACTGTCTGTTTTGTCTCTCTGCAGAAGGCACACAGTTTACTTTTGGACAGTGGGAACTGTGAACTGCATATGCTCTCATCCATTGCTAAGGAGAGGGGTGTATGGGCAAATGATACATTACAGTCCATTCTTTCAAAGGAGACACCAGAAGTGGAAAAGGGTTGGTCTAAGCTTTTGTATGAGTTATTTACTTAAGTTCTGTATGTCCGTACCTGGGCAGTGCCATGTGACTGCAGCTGAGACTTCTCAAATAGCACTGTAGTACTGGCGAGGGCAGGAGTGGGCATGAGTTACCCAAGTTCGCCTCAGCTCTCTTGATGGCAACTCCTGGGATCTGTTGGGTGCCTGCAAACCTGCAGCTTACAATGAGATTTCAACATGCCATTCAGAAACATTGGCACATTATAGGAGTGTGCCCACGGGTCCTAATGGTCTCCACTCACCTCCGTGACAAAGGAGCAAGTTGGGGTTAATTCCAGCCTGATCAATTCATCCAGGCTTATTTGTCTTTCGCTTCATAGCAGTGACAATCGAAGATCTCTCCAAGATGATAGTTTCTTATTTAACATCTCATGCCCATGAATATGGTGACTTTCCTGTCCGCCTTCTTTTTACAGGGGTGTTAGGACATTATTCCAGAACGTGTTGGTTGTCTATCCTCCAACATTTCCATCAGCTCTAAAAACCCCTTCATTCATTTATAGCTTGAAGCTTTTCACATTTTTCCAGGAATTCGTCTTCCAGGTCTCAGGCTGTTAGGGCACTATCGTCTGGTTTCCATTTCCCCTGCACCCTCACCTCTCCCTCACCTGAAGAAAGCTCAACAACCAAAACCACATTTTTTTTTCTTTTTCTACTTTCCAGCGTGGAATTAAATTTCTTTTGCTGCTTGAAGTTTGACGTAAATCCCCAATCAAACTTCTTATAGCTAACGGGCCAGGTTAAAAGCGGTTAGTAGTGGAAAAGGGGTAATTATCGTTTATAAAAATGGCTTTTCCAGAACTTAGTTCATAAGAACTAAAAAATGCTCTTAATGTCTTTGGGGGAAAAATGAATGTTATAGGTTAGTAGTGATTACATACTGTGGAAATGTTGTAAAAAAACTCTTATAGTTATGCTGTAAACCTTATAACATAATGAGAGAAAAAATACAGTAATAAAATACAGGTTGTCTTCAACCTGTTTCAGTTAATGGGTGTATGCTTTTTTGCTGCAGACATTTCTTGTGTAAGTGGGGAAAAAATACCCGTACTTCTGATTTTCTTAATTCAGAATTGTTTAAGAAGAGCTTTAATTGTGCAACAAGTATTCCTGATTCTCAGCATCGGGGATGTTGCTGCTTCTTACGGACGCCTGTTAGTTACAGTGTTGCTCGGGTTTCCATTCCACGTCAACAGCCTTCTTTTCTCTCCTCAGTTCGGGAGTTCCTTGAACAGGAAGGTGCGGTTCTGCTGGATATGCGGGTAAAGCACCTTATCAAAGAGAACCACATCGAAAAGGCGGCTTTGGTAGCGAAAGTGTGCGCGGAGCACCCAGAGTTTGGGGCAAAGAGCAGCTTTAAACAGACCTACCTCGTCTGTCTCTGTTCAGTAGCTCCGCGAGAGCAGGTCATGCAGGAGGTGAGTGAACCACCAGTGTATCTAGCGGCCTGGTTATGCTGAGGGCTTGTGAACTACCCGTGCAAATATGAATATCAGCAGGGATTACATTCTTTTGGAACATTTAATTCAAATGTGTTTGTTGAGTGCACTTGCAGATCACAATTGTGGTGCAAGGCTGCGATGTGGCATTTTGTCCACCTGGGTTCGGCTCCCATGCAGTTAAGCGGAAGCTTTCTTTCTGGTTTCCTTTGGTTTATTTGGTGCTTCTCAAGTAACTGCCAAAGAAACGTAATTATACCTCAAGAAGTTTGTGCATTTCTCCGGAAATCAGTATCCTTTTGAGGCAAACTCCTGAGCGGTTCCTGAGTTGTGAGATGCGAATGGAAAAGTGAAGGCAGGTATTGTAGAGGTCTAGCCTTTCGCCATAAGCTTGCCAACCACGTTGGTCTTTATAGAAGAGACCGTGATCCCTAACCGTGCGATCGTGAAAAAGATTTTTTCCATCTTGTGAAAACAACTGATTCTACATTATCGTAAACTTACATCTGTTTTGTTGCGCCTAAGAATGTATGTGCTGAAGCAGTAGATGAGTGGTCACCAGTCCTGGCCCCAGTGCCCCTCACACCTGCTGGGTTTCATTCCGTGCCACTTTAACGAGATAATTGAAGTGTTACCTGGTCTAAGAAATTGCTTCCTTCGGATACTTGCTTTTTGTTTCTATTTGCAAGTTTGGGATTTGATTTCACTTACAAAATACAGCAGTTAAAGCGCCAAGATCTTTTAAGAGCTGGGAGCAAACAGTTCAAATTCATCTTATTGTTATTCTTAAATTAATGAAGGTTTGATTGTGTAACTGAGGGCTCGGCTGGAACATAAACCATCAGGTGTGTGGGTCACCAGGACAGGACTGGGAGCCACTGCAATAGATCATACTTGATATTGGGGTGTGACTGGGATGACCTCCAAGTACTAACCAAGCAGCTTCATACCAGAAGACACATGCTGTTAAAGCAATACATTAATCCTGAGATATTAATTGGTCCCCTGGCAGCCAAAGCAGCAGTCAGAAAAACGTTTCAAAATCATCTTCTGAACTGCTTACCTTGTTGAGTTTAGGTCCTTTAAAGCCTGCACTGCATGTAAGGATGACACCCTTCCACCTTTCGGTTTGCTGTTTAGTGCCGCCCGTCTCCAAGTGAACTGGAATTTATTTTGTTTTTGTATTGCAAAAAATCGAAAATGTTCTGTCTTCAACAAACTGAAGGCACATTTTCAAATTCGATCCGTTACTTGGTTTGATTGACATCTGGGCGCGATAACGTGGCTGTCAGGTGTTTCACATGCAACTCCAACTGAACTACGGTCAATCAGAGTACCTGTGAAACAGTCTCGGGGAAAAAAAACAGGTTTAGATGGAAATGTACTAAAATATTTCTGTTTTGGTTTGAAACAATCTGCAAGAATTGAGATTGTTAAACCTGCTAGGACCTCATTTTATCTATCTTCTTCCTGGCTTATGCTTTGGCGTTCAGAAATGCCCACTGTCAGGAAGTTATTTTTAATTGCTTTTCGGATTCCAAGGTTTTCCATCACTGCAGTTACAACAGACTTGTAAATGTCTCATTTTTCATGTATTCCATTACCTTCACCCTCAAAACAGATTTCTGAAGTGGACTGTAAAGATGCACTTGAAATGATCTGCAACCTGGAGTCTGAGGGAGATGAGAAAGGTGCTTTGAGCCTGTGCTCAGCCTTTCTAACTCGGCAGCTTCTCCAAGGAGATATGTACTGCGCCTGGTGAGTGACTGTTCTGGCAACCAGAGCTGAAAGATGAGTGTTATTATATGAGGGAACTCGCAGCAGGGAAGAGCACTTCATGAGAGACACAGTAATCTATCTTGTTAGTAATGCATGTTATGGATGGTATCTCTGGTATTCTAAGAGAAAAACTTTAATTGTAAAATGAGGTTAAATGGAAAATCATGGTTTAACCTAAAATTTTAAAATGTTCTTCATCAAAATGCTTTGAAAGGTGAAACTAAGAACTGCGCTTTGGATTATACAGTATGTGACTATTTCAAGCCCAAAGGAACAATTCATAGGTTTATTCCATGTTGAAAAGAGAAAAAAGGAAACACAACATTTTGGCTTCTTCAGTGCCACACCCGAAGAAGGCTCCACAGCCAAAATGTTGTTTCCATTCTTCTCTTTTCAACATGGAATAAACCTTGACTTTTTCCTTTGCTGCCTGCGCATGCTGACGCAGCTACCCACCCGAACTATTCAAAACCCAGTTGATCATCTGTTAATCTGTTTTAACAGTTGTTTCTTCATTCTTTAAAAAAAGATTTAAATAGTTAAGTGGAATATTAACTTCTAATTGCAGAATGTTATCCAGGTAAACTATGGGTCAAGCATAGTTGCTTTTTTCAGGCAACAGACACGATTTACAGATTATTCTGAACATCAGGATCTAGGAGGACAGGGTTTGTCTCCCTTCTGCCATCAACTCATCAGCTGTTTGACACCCTGGGGTATTAGTTACAGACCTTCCCAGGTCTCTCAGGGAATTCCCTGATGAAAAGTAAAGATTAAGTTTGAATCTCATGTGTTATGCCAGTATGCTTTCGAGCAGTCAGGGATAAATAAGCTTTCTGATATTAGAACGATGTTCTTTTTTCCTCCCCGAGGATTTATGCTTTGAATTTTACACCATAATGTTGTAGTTCAAAAAATATATTCAGCAGTACTTTAAATAAAGCTTAATTCCTTAAGCCTAATATAATGCAGAATGGAATGGTAGTGTATGTTGTACTTCTGAGTTTTGTTTATTGCCTAGCAGTATTTTAATCAAATATTTTTGCTGTTTGAGTTATATTATGTTTGTCAATTCCAGGTTTGCATAATCTTCCCACACCACGTGACACCCCCAGGAGTCAGGGATAGGGTTAGTTAGAGAACAAGTCAATTTTCTAAAGAGCGGAAAATGGTAGCTGGCCAGGTTTAGGGTTAGGGTTTGGTGTGATTTTTGTTTTTCTAATTCTCAGTATTTACAAAGGTTGTAGGATTGTGGGACTTGGATACTTAATAAAACATAAGAATATGTTCTGAAGAGATTTCTGTTTAAAAGTAAAAGGATCCCTAAATGTTTGAGTGTAACACAAGGTTTTCATCACAGGGAACTCACACTGTTTTGGAGCAAACTGCTGCAAAGGTTGGAACGATCTACACAAGTGTTTCTGGACCACTGTCGTCAAATGTCTCTACTTTCTAAGACGGTGTATCATATCTTCTTTTTGATCAAGGTTATCCAGTCAGAGGTGAGTTTTGAGTCATTCAGATTGCAAAGTTCATGTAAGAGAAGAGACCTTTTTCTATGTATCGTATATATTTGAAGTGGAAATGATAATACTAAAGATATGATTAGAAAACAAGGAACGTAACCAGGCAATGAGCTAGTCTGCAGCACGAGTTGTATCTTATAGTCTCAAAGAAATGATTTTTCTCTGTAGCTGATTGTCATTTTGCATTTTAGACTAGGAAGTGCAGAAAGTGAGAATGCAATGTGAAGATACCACAAATTCTTAGATTTTATTCTTTGAAAGTTTTTAGCTACTAATTTAATGTTGTGTTTCACAGGTACAAGATGTGGGATTGCCAGTCTGCATTGAACTGTGTGTCAGAGCACTACGCTTGGAGACGGGTGATAATGCAAATATAAAAGCCACCATCTGTAAAACTATTTCCTGTTTGTTGCCCAATGACCTGGAAGTGAAGCGTGCCTGCCAGCTTACTGAATTCCTTTTGGAGCCTACTGTTGATTCATATTATGCTGTGGAGACACTCTACAATGAACCGGACCAGAAATTTGAAGAGGAAAACCTCCCAGTACCCAATTCACTGCGCTGTGAACTCTTGTTGGTGTTTAAGACGCAGTGGCCTTTTGATCCTGAATTTTGGGATTGGAAGACTCTGAAAAGGCATTGCTTGGCATTGATGGGTGAGGAGGCCTCCATTGTTTCATCTATCGACGAACTGAATGACTGTGAAGTTCTCGATCAGCTCGAGGATGAAGATGGAACCAAAGGTCCCGAAGAGTTTAAAGATCTCACAGATTGTTTTTTGGATACAACACATGTGCTTAATGAAATTGTTGATGAAAAGCAGAAGAAAAGGGAAATAAAGAAACTGAGGGAGAAAGGGTTTATATCTGCTAGGTTTAGAAATTGGCAGGCCTACATGCAGTACTGTGTACTGTGTGATAAAGAGTTTCTTGGTCACAGGATTGTACGCCATGCTCAGAAGCATGTTAAAGATGGAGTTTACAGTTGTCCCATATGTGCAGAAAGTTTTGACTGCAAAGAGCTTTTTGTACCCCATGTAACATCGCATGTGAAACAGTCATGCAAAGAAAGGCTAGCTGCTATGAAAACTAGTAGGAAGTTAGGAAGTCCTACTAAAATGCCATTTCCCAATTGTGTACCTCAGAAAGTTAAAACCAATGAGATGCAGGACAGCAAGCCCAAGAAAAAGAGCCGTCCATGTTCAAATGATGCTGAAGTTTCTAAAAACAGCTACAGTCAGGAGACGGTCAAAACAAAACTTCCAAAGCCTGACCTTGCTCTGTATCGGGCAGAATACACTGAGGAATATACATGCCCTGTAACAAACTGTAGGAAGGGATTCAAGTACTTCAAAAATTTGATAGCGCATGTGAAGGCTCATAAAAACAATGAAGAAGCCAAACGTTTTCTTGAAATGCAAAGCAAGAAGGTGGTTTGTCAGTATTGTCGTCGGCAGTTTGTTAGTGTCACCCACCTCAATGATCACTTACAAATGCACTGTGGCGCAAAGCCATATATTTGTATACAGTTAAATTGTAAGTCCAGTTTTCTGAGTAATGCAGAGCTGTTGGTGCACAGGAAAGAACACACAGCATTTAAGGCCAAATGTATGTTTCCAAACTGTGGGAGGATTTTTTATGAAGCCTACATGCTTTATGATCATGAAGCCCAACATTATAATACATTCACCTGCAAACTTCCCAACTGTGGTAAAATCTTCCATTCTCAGGCTCAGTTGGATGTGCACCAGGAAGATCATGTCACAAAGCAAGAAGCCCCTAACACTGAGGAATTGATCCCTTTACCAGATTTGAACACGACTGAAGTTCCAGCCCCAAACCAGTCTCACTTAGAAGAGCAAAGCCAAGCTATGTCCTTGGATCCAAACTCACCCAAAATGTCAGATACCTTCCAGAATGCATCAGTGGAATCAAGCTCATTTAATTTGCCAAATGAGACTCTGCAACCAGGTATCAGGCAGATAAAAATAGAAAACACAGTTCAGAACATACAAGACTTCTCTCAGGCTTTGATGTGTGATTCGTCCCAAAATCTGTCAAAGGAGGCTAATGAAGCCAATACAGAGCATCTCAATGTAACTCCAGTACCAAATCTCCATGCTTCAATTTTAGAAACGCCAATTCCAAATGACTTACCAGACCCTAGTCAAAATGTGTTAGAGGACTTAACACAAACTCTGCTGCCAGACCCAGATCGAAGTTTGTCACAAAATCCATCTCAGCTATCTGATCCATACCAAGCTATGATACATGACCCTCAACCAGCTCCACTCCCTGCCCGGCAATCATTGATTCAGAATCTGTCTCTGTTACCTCCCCAAAAGATTTTACAAGATTCGAGTGAAACTGCACTACCACCTCCTCAACCTGTTGTTTTACAAGATGCAAATAAATGTTTGTTACACAATCAGGATTCTTTACCTAACCAAACTCCAAACTGGTTTCATCTGAATCAGTCTCCAGATGCAACTCAGACTCCTTTGCTACATCCAAACATATATCCACTAGAATTAAGTTTATTGGAAGCCAAAACAAAAGAGGAGCCAGTTTGTAGTAGCAGCTGTACGGAAAATAGTACTCCGTATTTTCAGCAGGCATTGCCTGTTAATGAAGCTTGTGATAATGGAAGAATAGCTGTGAATTCTGACCACACAGAACTAGAGCCTTTAGAGCAGCCGGAATCGCTTTTGAAAAGCGGACCAAACGAGATTAACGAAAGCACGCAAGATACACTGTCTAGTTCTTTACAGCAAATCCCGAATAATGTCTCAGCTGTGAAAACCGAGGGTTTAGGTGAAATGACCGTTCCCAGACCGCTGCCTGTATCTCCGGAAGTGACTGTTCCAAACACTAGTTCTCTACCTGCTGCTGTGATTGGAGGAATAAATGTCATTCCACCGTCTGTATACAAGAGCAGTGTGCTGAAAGCTGAAGGTGAAAAACAAGCCAGTATGGAAGGTTCTGTAAAGGTTGTCCAGAGGTTTAACTGCACGTTTGAGACTTGCACTCGGAACTACAGTTCTACAAGAAGCGTCAGTAAGCACATGAAGGCAGCACACCCTGAATACTATGCCGAATTAAAACTGGCTCGCAAGAACAAGAAAGTTGTAAGGACTCCTATCAAAAATGTTTCCAGTGATGGGAAGCTTGTTTTTTTAATTCCAAGTGCTAAGAAGGGCAAAATACCCGTTTCACAAATTAATACAACAAACACAATGCTACCATTCACTTCTACAGTAGCAAACCCAGCTTTTACTTCACTCGCAGCAAATATAACAAGCCAGGTTTTGCCAACCCAAATAGAGAACATCATAAATCCAATCATGTTGTCCCATTTAGGTAATCCTCAAAACCAAAGTATACCACTACAGTCAAAAATTGAAGCTAATCCACTCTTGCTGTCACAAAATGAAAACACTCCAAATCTCACTTTACAAACTGAAAGTCCTGCGAAACTGTTACCTTTGCATCTGCAAGTTCTTGCCAGTCAACTGTCTTCTCAGATGAACAAAACTACGTTGGATGTTCTGACACAAGTATGTGTAACAAATCAAGCTGCAGTCACTCGAAGCAATACAGTAACCCCCCTTCCAAATGCTCAAGCAAGTTGTTCAATAAATCCAACTTTGATTTCTCAGTCCAGTTCAGGTGTAGTACCACAGATGCATAATAGGGGAGGTCAGGTTTTGGATTCGCCACCAGATGGAAACGTGGAACCAACTGTGATGCCTCAACTGAGCATTAATTCAGATTCCCTTTTAACCCCACAGTTAGTAGAAAGTACAAATTCAGTTTTAGCAACACGGAATGAAACAGATCGGGTTGATGTACAAACTCATAATGCTGAAAAAGCATGTCCACATTTGCCATTAGATCATGGCTCCAATCCAACAGCACCCACCTCATGTGAAAGTTCACATCTACGTTATTCTTCAAATGTGATCAATGATATAAATTCTAATGAATCCCCGCAAGTGGGTAGTATGGCAAAGATAGCACTACCCCAGTTTAATTCATCAAATCCTAATCTGCCTTCTAACGTGGAAGAGCTGACGAAGCCTTTGCTGCCCTCAGCAATGGAAAATATATCCCATCCATTATTGCCTTCCTACTTGGAGAGCTTGAAGGTACCATCAGTTCTATCAGGTCAGCTAGAACCTCCAGTGAATCCTCTTCTCCTACCACAAATCGGAAGCAATTCCTTACCTCCTTTCTCTTCTCCGGTAGAAGGAGTAGCTAATCCACCAGTCCAAGGCAGTATTGATTCCGTTTTTCCATCCCAAGGCAATAATACCATGCAGGCAAGAGCTAATGTTATCCAACACAGGCTGCCTAGTGTGCCGAAATCAGAAGATGAAACTCTGAAAGTAAAAAGAACCAAACACAACAAGAGAGCAAAGTGGCCAGCTATTGTAAAAGATGGCAAGTTCATCTGCAGTAGGTGCTTCAGAGAGTTCCCCAGTCCAAAATCACTTGGTGGGCATTTGTCAAAGCGTTCTCATTGTGTACCTTTTGAAGAAACTAGTATGACTCCAGAGTTTCAGCAGAATCCAATACCTCCTTCATTTCTTGCTGATCTTATTCTTAATCAGCAGTTATCTGCAAACCTGAACCCCGGTATGTCTTTGAAAGACCAGTCAAGTCAGTCACTAGAGCCCAGTGACCATACAGAGCGAAGGTTTTTCCCGAATGTGATTTTCCCCCAAGCTAATGGTGCAGCTTGTGATTCCAGTGAAGTTGAACAAAATAATGAGATTCTGAAGCAATCTTTAGAAACTGCAACCATTCCAAATCTCTTTGAGCCCTCTGGAATTTCACAGCAGACGTTTCAGAATCCTTGTGGTACTTTCCAATCAGATGGACGTTTGCCAGAAAGCACAGTCATACAACACACTGGAAAAATCCAAGTAAAGACAGAAAATGATAGCTCTGGGGAAGATATGCCCAAGGGAGGAGAGCTTGGGTTTTGTAATGATATATTTTCTGATCCTCTGCTTTCACAGATGCTAACAGATAATAATTCCCAGCTTTCTTTAAATAATCTAAGCCTTGTAACAAACCATCTCAACCAAATATTGAGAGCCGAATCACTCCTAATGAAGAGTAAAGGAAATGAAGACCCACAGGTTAACACGGGAAGCCTGCAGCAAAACATCTTACCGAATGATGGATTGCTGGCTGCAATGGCTAGCCTAACACAGAATTTATTGTCAAATCCATTGCTACAGGTGGCTCCAGCAATCCCCCAGCAGCCTTTAAAAGTACAACAGGATCAGCCTAATGATGCTACTCAAAAGAAAAGGAATGTGAAGAAAAAATTGCGTGCCCAGATCTTGGCTGCTGATCTTTTAAAGTCTGGGAAAACAGGGAATTTATTGGAACCATTAGATCCTGTGGCAAATACCAGTTTACAGCAAAACTCGGAGTTTGTTGAGAGAAGGCAGAGCTCAGAGTTGTCCGAGGTGATTCAGACCGCATCCACCAGTGAGCAGAAAATTAAAATGAACAATGATGGAGTAGCAGTGAATGATGTTTCAGTGGCATTGATGAGTAACTCTCTGCCTAGTGGGGAGTCCCCCCTGG